TTTGTAACATTTCTTCTTGAAAGTGAGTCTCAAACATTCAAGGAAGCAATGTTGTCTAGCGACTCAACCTGTTGGAAGGAGGCTGTTAATAGTGAAATTGAATCAATCTTAAGCAATCATACTTGGGAGTTGGTTGATCTTCCTCCAGGGAACAAACCCTTGGGTTCAAAATGGATCTTTAAAAGGAAGATGAAAGATGATGGAACTATTGACAAATATAAAGCAAGACTTGTTGTCAAAGGTTTTAGACAAAAAAAAGGTTTTGATTATTTTGACACATACTCGCCAGTGACTAGGATTACATCAATTCGGATGTTAATTGCACTAGCTGCAGTATAAGGTCTTGAAATTCATCAAATGGATGTGAAAAAAGCCTTCTTAAATGGAGAGCTTAAAGAAGAAATTTACATAGAACAGCCTGAGTGTTTTGTAGTTCCTGGTAAAGAAAAGAAAGTGTTCAAACTTATTAAGTCACTTTGTGGACTAAAACAAGTACCAAAACAATAGCATGCAAAATTTGATCAAACCATGTTGTCAAATGGATTTAAGATCAACGACTGTGATAAATGTGTTTACATTGAAGATACTCCAAATCAGGAAGTTATTTTATGCCTGTACGTAGATGACATGCTTATAATGAGCAAAGACATTGCTAATATAAAAGCTACAAAGCGTATGCTCGCTAGTAAGTTTGATATGAAAGATTTAGGAGTTGCTGATGTGATATTAGGAATTAAAATTCTTAAAACTCCTAACGATCTAGCATTGTCTCAAAATCATTATATTCAAAAGATACTTGAAAAATTCAAATTTTTGAATTTTAAAAGGGCAAAGACTCCAATTGATGTAAACCTTCATCTTGCAAAGAATAAAGGTGAAAGTCAGTCTCAATTGGACTATGCTAGCGTATTGGGAAGCTTAATGTATGTCATGAATTGTACACGACCAGACATAACTTGCACTATAGTAAACTGAGTCGATACACAAGTAATCCTAATCGAAGTCATTAGTTGGCAATGAAGAGAGTTTTGGGATACTTAGATGACACTCAAAACTATGCTTTACATTACAACAAACATCCAGCCGTTCTTGAAGAATATAGTGATACAAATTGGATTACTGGGTCAACTGAAACAAAATTCACAAGTGGATACGTTTTTACTATTGGTGGAGGAGCAATATCTTGGAAATCATCCAAACAAACATGTATATATCGCTCTACAATAGAGTCTGAATTCATTGCTTTAGACAAGGCAGGTGAAGGGCTCCGGAATTTCTTAGAAGATATCCATTTTAACCCAAACCAATGGCCCCTATCTACATACACTGTGATAGTCAAGCTGCAATAGGAAGGGCTGAAAGCATTATGTATAACGGAAAGTCTCGTCAAATAAGACGAAGAGATAACTCTGTGAGACAACTACTCTCTAGTGGAATTATCACAATTGACTATGTGAAGTCAAAAGATAATGTGTCTGATCCACTTACAAAAGGCCTAAATAGAGAGGGAGTGGAGAGATCATCCACGGGAATGGGACTATGGACGAGAATAAGTCATCGTGGCGGTAAATCTACCTAGAAGAATGGAGATCCCAAGATCTAGGTTCAAGGAGATAAAACAAAGTCATTGATGACGGTTCAACATTGTCAAGGAAAAATATTATTTTATGGTTCATTCTCATGATGAGACAATGTTTAGTAACCAGAATAAAGACATAAGGACTTTTTAATGGTTTCTAAGTTTGATACAGGGAATATCAAGTGGTGTATCTATGAGATAACACATTTAGAAATCACCTATGTAAGTGTGAAGTGTAAGCCGCTTCAAGGAGAATCCGGTAAGGCCAGTTCTTTAAGCACTTACTATGCAAGATGTGTTCATGGCTGAAACGAACAAAATAATGAGAACTAAGAACAGTTCAAGGATTGATTGTGTGACATATGTTGCCTAGGTATACACCAAAGCTCAACGGTTCAAAGATATCAAATCTACCGATTGACCGAGTATATCCGATATATGTTCACTACGGAAAGTTTAAGGGGAAACCTACTTATCCATATGCGATTAACCTTTACCTACAAGACACACATGTTTTTTCATGCATATGTTTTAACAATACCCTTCCCCATAAAACGGGTCTGAACAGATTTCTCTGAACAGACATGTTTCTTGCTGAAAATTTAATTTTCGATTTTTCAACTGAAATCTTCCTTCTTCTCTGCATATATATTTTTCTCTCAAATAAAATCAAAGGGTCGATCGACTGAGTCTGTCTGACTTGTTCCTGTTCTGAAGTTCGCTGAAGTTAAAGGAGTTTGAGGTACCGCTATTTCTTTAACAGGTTTAATCTGTTTTATCTTGGGAGAAATTAATCCATAACCTCGGGTACAGTGAGGGGATTAAATTTCTTAAGGAGACACAATAATTTCTGTGGACTCGGATTATTTTGTATTTTTTCTGCTTCATCTTAATTATGTTTCTGTTTATTGGTTAACCTTACAAATACAGGTTAATATAACATTAACAATACACAAATAATTATATATATGTGACTGTAAATACATTTTCACTGTAAATTAATTTCATACAATATAAAAATTCATAACTCAGCCTGATCGTGGTTCCATGATAAGTACCATTTTCTTACTTCTAGTTTTCAGTAGTTAGACTAATTTCTTTCATTGTTCTAATTAATTAAAAAAATCTGTTAGCTTATTAATTGTTTACCTTTCTAAAACTCTAAACTAACATTTGATTGTTCATTTGAACAAAACTTGTTAAATAAGGTGATAAGTAGTTGTTAAAATAGTGCAATAGAGTTGAGACTGATGAAAATAACATAACACATAAACGTGATTCTTAACTTGACGTCAGTTGGAAACTATGCCCTTTAACTTTGGGTATGCACAAGTAGACACTTAAACTTGTAAACACACATATCCTACATGGCATAATTCATGTAGGACACTATGTCAAGATCAATTCTGATGTCATGTCGCAAAACTAATGGTTGGCCACCAAAATGGCATGGTTTACACAAAAAAATCATCGACGACTAGTTCATATGCGATTGAAGGACATGTAAATGCAATGTAGTTATACATAACAAAAAACCGATTAGGCAAGTAGCAATTCACACACCATGTTTGTCTAGGAACGCACATTCGACTCATAGAGTTTGAATCTGCATTAACGAAAAACTTGCCAGTACAGCCCAACAAAAATAATTCCTCTATCTTCTATGTAAAATCTGTTAGAGCCAAGAACTCTAAACATATTCCGGGATCCCATACGCAAGAATCTATTCCAATTACCAGAAAGGTTATAAGAAATATATCAGCAGCAGGAACCAATGAAAATTGACTCAATATTTTGGCCATTGAATGTCCTAGTGGATTTTCCAATTTTAGAGTCGGAACATATTTTGACAGAATGCATTGAACTTGTCAAGATATTAAGATATAGATTTCATTATCCACAGGTTCCACGAAAAAATCAGCAAGATACTAGTCTACGAAGGTCTCCAAATCAGTTTTCCATTTAGGAGTGACAGCAGCGATAGAGTTAACACGTACATACCTCGCTGACATATCTTATTCGAGATGTTCATTAGGCCCAACAACTTTTGGATCATCAAAAGGAACTAGAAGTGATAATAATATAATTGAATCAGGTGATGTTATTTTTCATAAACGTAAATTTTCATTTGATTCTAAAAATAGTGGAAGGATTGAACAAAAATTTTTGTCACTACCTAGTTCTTCTAATTCTACTGGTTTAACTTTCCTCTAGCTTGATTCAAATTTCTTCATTTCATTGATGCTTTGTGTTACTTTTTACATTGGTGTAGAGCTCTGTTTCTGTGGTGAATATTAAGTAGAAGTTGTTTTTGAGAATGAGAAACTTATACACGCTTGGTGGCCACATTCATCTTCATCAACGACGGTGCCTGAATCTTCGCTAATCTCCATAAAAATAAACATTCTACAGTAATAACAGATAGTATTAAATAAATAGTATTAGTATTTACTGTGTACTAATCATAGTCCTATTAGGATTAGTACTCCTTAATCCTAGTCCTATTAAGATTAGTACTCCTTCCTATATCTCCTATATATATTTCCCATGTATTCCCTTAACACTTCAACACAATCAATATTCCTTCATGGTATCAAGAGCCAGAAAACCTAGATCTTCTTTTCTCTAGTTTTTTTTCTCTCTATAGGGCACCGATCGTTCCCTCTCTTCTCTTGGGTGGCGGCAGCCATGACAACCGAAGTGGATCCTCTCGATTCACTTCCTTCTGGCGTTAAACTCCTTCTCAGGCATCTTCATGCCCTGATTCCCAAAAAATTATCAGACATAAATTACCCTACATGGAAAATCACCATTCTTACAGCCCTTGAGGCTAATTACCTTCTCAAATACGTCGATGGAAGCATTGAACCGCCGCCGGCATTCATCACCACCACGGACAAATCAGAAAAAACCAATCCGGCCCATGCCGCCTGGAAAGCCGTGGATGGCCACATTCGATCATGTATGATTGTGGTCATCTCTCCCACGGTTCAGAAACACGTCCGATCCTACACAACTGCTTCAGCCCTATGGACGGCCCTCGCAACACGCTATGCATCAATTTCCCACTCTTATATTTTTCAATTGCGTGATCGTCTCCACACAATTACCCAAGGCACGAAAACTATGGCGGAGTATTTAGACGAGGTCTCCACCATCATCACAGCCCTTGACACCATGAACGAAATCATTCCCGAAAAAGATCTCGTCATGTGCGTCGTTCGGGGGCTCCCATCAGCTTACTCCTCCATTAAACAGGCGGTTCGCATCAGTCCAACGCCCGTTGACCTGGCTACTCTCTCCTCGTGGCTAAAAAGTAAAGAAATCAACGTGGATCTAGAGAGCAAACTTCTTCTCCGAGAAGCCGCTGTTATGGAGCCGGCCACCGCCCTCACCGCAAGCCAGAACTATCACGGGGGGCATGGTGGCGGCCGGCAGGGAAACCGCGGCGGCTACGGTAGAAACAGCGGAGGCCGCGGGCGCGGCGGTTGGCAGGACAGTCGTTCGCCGTACGACGTTCAGCAGCACGGCAGTAACAACAGCCTGCACTCCTTCGGCAGCGGCGGACAGTCATCTTCCAGCGGCGGGCAGGGCACTTACGAGCGGAATCGTCCAATTTGTCAAATCTGTCAAAAAACAGAAAACACCGTTGTTCGTTGCTGGTTTCGGTATAAGGAGAGTCGAAATAGTGATAACCGTGCCAATTATGCATCTCAAGCTGGCCCTTCCTCTGAATGGTTGTTGGATACTGGGGCCAACATGCACGTTACTTCTGATCTATCCAAGCTTAACGATCCAAATCTATATCATGGCTCTAATGGTATTACTGTTGGCAACGGTGAGTCCCTTAATATTTCTCACACTGGCGCGGGTACCATTAAAATCCCCACCGCTATCTTTCACCTAGGTAACCTTACCCACGTCCCTTCTATTAAAACCGATCTCCTTTCAGCTCACCAATTCACAAAAGACAATAATTGCTCACTCGTGTTCACCTCTAATTATTTTAAGATCCTAGACATTACTACCAAGAGGGTGATTTTTCAGGGCCCCTGTGAGCATGGTCTGTACGTTCTTCCTTGCACAAGTTCATCTGCTCACCCAGTTTCAGAAAGCGTTCATATGGCTCCGGTGGCTCTTTCGGCTGATGGCCACAGTCTGTTGTGGCACAGTCGTGTGGGTCACCCGTCTACTCAAATAATAAATTCTTTAATGTCTCAATTAGGTTTTTCTTCCATTCATGTAAACAATTGTGACTCCTGTTCAATTGCTAAATCTCATAAATTACCTTTTACTTTATCTGAGAAGCGTACAACTGCACCTTTTCAACTTGTTCATTCTGACCTATGGGGTCCTACTGCTGTTCCTTCATTTGCTGGTTTTCGCTATTATATTTGTTTTGTGGATGATTTTACAAAATACACTAGGTTGTACCCACTAAAACACAAATCACAGGCATACACCACCTTTGTCACTTTTGAAAAAATGGTCAAAACACAATTCAATTCTCATGTTAAACTTTTTCGAAGTGACAATGGAAAGGAATATGTAAATAACATCTTTGGCCAGTTTCTGCAATCCATGGGAATTATACATCAAACCTCCTGTCCATACACTCCCGAACAGAATGGGGTGGCTGAGCGTAAGCATCGCCATCTCATTGAAACGGTGGTTACTCTTCTATATCAATCTCATCTCCCTGTCTCCTTTTGGGTAGAAGCTCTAGCCACCGCAAACTACCTCATTAACAGAAGGCCTAGTCACACCCTCTCCAACAAATCACCCTATCAACTCCTTTACCAAGAACTTCCCAATTATACCAACCTCCGCATCTTTGGGTGTCTTGCCTACCCTTGGCTAAGCCCTTATATTACTTACAAATTACAACCCCGATCCCGTCCTTGTATTTTTTGGGGCTATCATCCTACCTCCAAGTGTTATCGCTGTCTTGACCCACAAACTCATAAAGTCTACATATCTCTTCATGTCAAATTTGTCGAAAATGAGTTTCCCTACGAGTCTATTTCCTCCTCCACAAATACATCATTCATTGGCACCCTTCCCCTTTTTCCAACATACTAACAGGGTCCCTCACCACCTTCCCCCACACCTCCACCCACTACCCAACCACCCCTTATCACCCCTTCGACCGTCACCCACTATATACCCGCAACCACCACCCACACTCACAACCAATCCGAACCACCCCATGCCCACAACATCTTCAGCCAGATCCATTTTGGGTCCTTCCCAGCCACCCCCGAATCACCACCGCCCGTGCCACCCCCCAATACTCATCCCATGTTAACCCGTGGCAAAGCCGGTATCTTTAAACCCAAAACCTTTCAGGCTACCATACTACCAAATACACCCCTTCCCGATAGTGAACCAACAACCTACTCTATTGCCTCAAAAAATGCTTATTGGCGTCATGCTATGGATGACGAGTTTAAGGCTTTGACTGATCAGAAAACTTGGGTTCTTGTACCTAAGCCCCATAGGCGGACCCAGTGGGATGTAAATGGGTGTACAAAATTAAACACAATGCAGATGACAGTATTTCCAGGTACAAGGCTCGTTTGGTTGCTAAAGGCTACAATCAGGAGTATGGGCTTGATTACTCCGAGACATTCAGTCCTGTTATTCGGCAGGAAACCATTCGCATGGTACTGTCACTCGTCGTGTGCAACAATTGTCTCATCAATCAGTTGGATGTTTCCAATGCTTTTCTTCATGGCATGCTTGATGAAACTATCCACATGACGCAACCACCGGGCTATGTTGATCCCCGCTTCCCTCAACATGTTTGCAAACTCCAAAAGTCTCTGTATGGGCTCAAGCAAGCCCCCCGTGCTTGGTACACACGTCTAAAAACGTTCCTCCAGGGACTCGGCTTCACGTGTTGCGTACACGACACGAGTCTGTTTACTCGACATTCCGCACACGGTACAGTCATTCTTCTTGTCTATGTAGATGATATCATTATTACAGGCTCTACTGCAGCTCTCATTCAGGATGTCACTCGAGCTATGCATACTACCTTCAAAATGAAGGACCTTGGCCCGTTACATTATTTTCTGGGAATGGAGGTTTCTCGGACAGGCAGTGGCTTGTTTCTTCATCAGTCAAAATATGCTCGAGATCTGTTGCAGAAAGCTGGACTGGAAAAATGCACCAGTCAACCAACACCGATGGCAGTCTCTTCATCTACGAATGGAGCCGACACACCCTTTGCCGATATCACCCACTTCCGCAGCCTCATTGGGGCTCTACAGTATCTGGCCATTACCCGTCCTAACATCCAGTTTGCTGTCAACCGAGTTGCTCAGCGCATGCATCAACCAAGTGAACATGATTACCATTGTCTAAAACGCATTCTTAGGTACATTTTTGGCACTCTTGGTTGTGGTTTACTCATTCGACCCGGGGACTTGGAGCTTCGGGGTTTCTCAGATTCAGATTGGGCGAATGATAAAAATGACAGAAAATCTACATCGAAGTTTCTCATTTTTTGGGGCCGAACCTGATCTCCTTGTGTACAAAAAAACAACCCAAGGTCTCTCGGTCCTCGACTGAAGCTGAATACCGCGCCCTTGCTCTTCTTGCTGCTGAGACCATGTGGGTCACATATATTCTTCGCGAACTCCGCGCCACTCACACTGTTCCTGCTTTCTATTGTGACAACAAATCAACCATCTGTGTGGCCAAGAATTTCGTTCTACACACCAGAATGAAGCATGTTGATACCGATTGTCTCTTTGTTCGTGATGACGTTTAGGTCGGCACCACGACTATGCAGTATGTACCCACTGAAGAACAACCGGCTGATATTCTCACCAAGCCTCTCCCGAGCCGACAGCACGATTACCTCAGTTCCAACATTCCGTTCGCTTCCGCTCAGCTCAACTTGAGGGGGGATAATAACAGATAGTATTAAATAAATAGTATAAAATAATATTAGTATTTACTATGTACTAATCCTAGTCCTATTAGGATTAGTACTTCTTAATCCTAGTCCTATTAGGATTAGTACTCCTTCCTATATCTCCTATATATATATCGCATGTATTCCCTTAACACTTAAATACAATCAATATTCCTTCATACAGAAACCAATTTATTTGTTTTTGTAGACTTCTTGAGTCTAATTTTATCTCGCTAATAGGAGTGAAGGAAAATAACTTTTATATGCTAAATAATTGTAAATCTACTCATTGATTACATGTTAAAATAGTTTGAGTAAATTAAATCGTTTATTGTTGTTAAAATAAGTTCATTTACTTGTATGTTACAACAGGTACTGTTGTACACTCTCCTGATACACATTTGTGATTATAGGCAATATGTTCATGAGTATCTGATGAAGCAGAGTACACAGCAGATTTTTCTTTTTGTGTTCTTTCATTGTGTTGTTTATATATATAAAAAAATTCTGAGGTAAAGGATCAATATGCAGAATTAGAGAATATGGTATAATGAAATCAATAATATATGATGTAGATATGAAAAATATTCTACCATGATTTAGTTTCTTTAGGCCCGCAAGTTGGGGGTGGGGGGTGGAACGACCCCTAACTTGTAGACAATACAATTGGTTTGTGCTCTGGATAAGGATTTCATAAGTAGGAAAGTATAATAAGAAACTTAATTGGGGTTATGAGTAGAGCTGTCAAAATGGGCTTGGCCCGCGAGGCTGGCCCAACCCAACCCTTGAAATAAGTGGCGTTGGGCTTAATATTTTTGGCCCATTTATGAACAAGGCTTTTTAGCCCGCCCCATTTGGCATGTTGGCCTCGTTGGCCCAACCCGCAAGCCTCTGAGGCCAACCCATGAGCTATTATTTTTTTATATATTTTTAATAGTGTTTTATTTGTAAAGATTTTATGAATAAATATTTTAAAAAATAAAAAATAAAGTATTTTGCAATATCATCTTGCATGGTGAATTGTAGATGAAGATGAACTTTTTAAGGAGATAATATCACATCTTGATTCAAATGTGATCGATGGTGGAAGTAGAAGCGGAGTTGTAAAACATTAATTAATGAGTCATGTAATATTTTAGAAATTTGATGGTTAAGTATTTAGGCTATCTTGTGTTGCTGGATATCTTTTAAACCAGCTAGTTCTTTGTGGAAGAAATGATGGAATGATCAACATTTGTCCGCTAAATCTTATGTTGGCTAGCTATTATGTATTTTTGTAAGTATTCACCAAAGTAAGTGATTTATAAATGTATTTTTGTAAGTATTCACCGAAATGTGTGATTTATTAATGAATTTTTGTATGAATTGATGTCGTGTTCATAGACGTCAACATTCGATACTCTTTCTAAGATAGTAACAATGTTCATTTTTTTGGTTGAAAGGCCAACCAGCTCCAACCCGTGGTCGGCTTAGGGCTGGGTTGACACGCTATTTTATTGGCCCTTTAATTAAAAGGGTCAACCCGCTCCAACCCATTTAACTCTCTAGCCCGTTAGGGTTGGGTTGGGACAACCCATTTTGACACCTCTAGTTATGAGAAGCGTGCT